TATGGCTAAGTCATTTTCCTATACAAATGTAATAGGAATTCTTCTATAGACCTACACTATTCTAATTGAAGCTGTAATAGAATTGTACTAGTCAACCTCATCCTGTCTTTCCCTGGGTTTTAGTCTCAGTGAGGTTTGTTCGACATGAGTTAGACACGGCGTTGGTAGCTCGTGCGCCCAAACCTTTGCAACAACCTTTTGCTGCGTGCTGTCCCACGTGCTACGTAACACAGGCATCGTTCGGCATGGCCGCCGGCAACGATTTTGGCACTGCCGACGGCAATGGTTTCGCCATTGCCGACAGCAATGACATGCAAGAATTGATGCAACGCAACTTGCTTGTATTGGCAAAGTTTACAACCTTTGCATCCGGCGTTGTGGCACTTGTAGCTCCAAACATGGCATGTTTTGATCCATGCCTGCCAGAATTTTCTTCGGGCAACTTGCGGCGGGAATCGACCACGCAAGCGAAATTGGGCTTGAAGAGGTACGTCGAGGAGATTGCAGACATGTGACGAGATGTGCGTGTAGCGGTTTGGTCGGAGCGTGGGGAGAGCATTTTGGATAAACTGTGTGCTTGCAGGAGGAAGACGTGAAGGAAACCATGGTTTCCAAAACGGTGCGGTTATTCACAGGCTCGTCTTACTTGGCAACGGAATCCAGGGTGTTGGTTCGCGATTTGTGTAACATGCGCTCTAACAGATCCCAATCCCACAAATTTCTGGCAGCAGTTCACATAATCGCTCCCGCCAAGCATGCATCCAGTCCTTTCCTCACCCTTGATAATACAAAGCTGTGATTTTCTTCTTGGCTGTTACTGTATGTAAAGAGGTGTTGTGAAGACCTACGCAAATTTAAGAACCAGTGGGTCCTCTTAGAAACGTAGCACATTCAATTTCCAAGTAGTTGAGATGCGATTCATAAATCGCATGATGTTGGATGAATATCTTCTCAAAGCCAATTTCAAACCAACTGACAAATTACGTGAAACCTACTTAACAACTAGTACGAATAAGCATTTACTGGAACTCGAAATCATATCCAATTGCAGTCTAATATAACATTAAATGTTACCTAGCTCTGGCCTATGGAAAATCAAGTTAAAACCGCTTAGAAACCGTATGATAATAAATTGATACCTACTTCCAACCTCATTTGGTTTTATATGATTTCCTTTTTCTGAAGCTATATGAGAATGGGAAAAATTAGGGAAATCAAGGGGATCCTTAATTCTTTTGGTATTTTCTTATAAGCCCCGATGTTTTTTTTATAACCCCCGAATGACCTTAGACATTCCCTTCATTCATTATTATGGGGATCCCAATTCACCCCTCTTCCAGGATTTTCAGTTTGGTGGAAGGGGGTGGGTTCATGATTTCGGACGGTTCATTAGTAGGCAGCAGCGCATGCTTGTGCGCCGCATAGTCATGCAACTTACGCGTGCCGATGCCCAGGGCCGGAAGTCGAGAAGACGCCTGAAACCGGTCTGATTAGCAAGGCGGGCATGAACATGTCCAAAATTGCGGCAGCCTTTCGCTACGCTGTAGGCTGGCATCATAGGTGTTCAGCATTGTTCAGCGTTCAGGTTTACGATGACCATTTGACATCACAATCGCACGCACCAAAGCCTTGAATGCAGAGAAGTTCGGTGGTGATCATGAGCGCGAAGGGCGAAGGATTTGAGCCATAGTCTAAACCCAATTAAGGGGGTTGATGTCGGGGACAACATAAGGGAGCCTATTACGGGGGATGCTAGGAGTTTAGACTATGGCTCATGTAGCTATTATAAGTTATTTTTATAAATAATCACAATATAAGCGGGCGCTATAGTTAGTAGTAGCGACAACACAGGCCCGAATATGCCTGAACTCTAAATCAGCTGGTTGTGGCAGGTTCGCCGGACGGCCGTTGATTTTGCGGAATGGTGGGACGCTCTGGTAGAGCCAGAACGTACCGGTCGAGCCCAGGATGCGCTTGTGGCTTGGCTGGTTGTTGCCTACGGGGTATCTCTCAACATGAATTTCCCGCAATCCTTATGCCCATGATCCCCCCATATTCCCTGCATATCCCTTTAGGTCCCTAGTGAAGATCCAGCTCTTTAGATTAGGTCACATGTATTTTGAGGCCTGAAGTCTATAAAAGTGAAACCTATTTCGGCGGATGTGGATTCCTGGCGTTGTTCAGGTTGTTGTCCATTTGACAACTCTAAGGCTCAATCAGCATTTCAGCTTCACGTACCCAGAGTTAAGTTTGCTCTGGGTTCCTGCAGATGTCTCTCATTTTTTGGGCTGTGTGGTGTGCGCAACACGCCTTGAGCCCATGCGACGCAGCGTTTTTAGGGACAGCTGGGCCTGCCCACAGGTATGTGAGCCCTGTGTCACGGATATGGGGCAAGGACAAGTGAAGTTCACCCAGCAAATGAATGCCCAAACAAGGAATCGAGGTGGTTCCGCATTATGTCGGCCTTGGCACCGAAGCTGCAAGCCTTGCATGTGTGCATGTGCACGGCCATTGCAATGATCCCATCCACCAGCCGATGTGCTTCACGTGTAAAGTTCAGACACATTGCCAGTTCTACGTGTTGGCGCTGCATCATGTACCTGGCAAAGACTTGCAGAGCTAATCATATCCCTACTTGGGACTTTTTTGGGAAGATGTTTGTGGTGGACCTTTTGCCTGTCACCAGTTGGCAAGAGGAGGTGAGGTTGAAACAGTCATTTGATTTGTGCTGCGTTCTTCGCGCAGTGGACTTGATGTTGTAGAAGTTTAGGTGAGTTGGGGCTAGGGTGTGGTTATCGGTTTTCAAGCAGCGCAACCTTTCACAGCAGTAAGGGCAGGTCCTCTTTCATGATTGTTAATAGCGGTGTCATTACCCTGCGGCATGCTGTGTAGAGCAGATTATGGGCAGCCCGTCAAGCCATGTCTTCAGGCAAGGGCACGCAATAATTTCAGTCCTGCCGTGAAACGCAAATTGCTCTGCTTACGCATGTAGCAAGGTTCCCAAAACACTTTCGCACAATGTGCGGAATATCAACATTTGCCGGGACATGCAGTGCTGCCACAACCGCTTTTCAGGTCATTGTGGTCAACGCAATCGTTGTGACCTGGTTGACCGATTGGAGTCTGGAGCATAGTGGCCGAAGTGGCATGGCGGCATGAATTGGCTCATGTTGGGTGTCAGAAGGCAATGGGGGCATGGATTCCTGATAACCCCAAATGATAACGAAAACATGTTCCGTATTTCCATTCCTTCATTCCCCTACTTAGAGCTGCAGTAAATGTCGTTCGATCATTTTTTGAAGGAGTGGTGCGCATCGCTGGGGGGGTGCCTCACACTTGGTGGGCGGGTCACACCACCTGATTGCTTGGAATATTGTTGGCAGGCATCACGCCAGAATGAAGACCTGTAGAAACCTTCCCGTACAGGCACAGCATTCATCAAATTGTGGGATCTGGGCAGTGCAAGCACCTCATCCTGCTTATGGAGAAGGGCCATGTTCTCATCACGTGCATGATGCTTTGGTGCAACCAACTACTTGTTCCTGTGATCAGACATGCCTCCGGGATTCGAGCTCGTCGACCTCGCGTTCCTGCTGTTCTACGCAACTCGTGTTGCAGATGACGAATCGGTGCCATGCTTTACTGATAGTTGCAGTTGCAACTCAACTCTTCTTGCTGTACGTCCCGAGAGCTCAGACCTGCTACAACCAATTTCCTAGGATATGGCTTTGCTCTGCAAACACGCGGCATTGTTTCGCGAAGTAAGGCCATGGAAATCATCTTGAAGTTCTATGTGCACCAAGGCCGGATGCCCAAGTAGTCCTGCTAAGAGTGGGGGAAGATGGGATTTCAACCAACAGGGCAACGCAGCAGAAGACAAAGCACTGTGTGGAGGTCATGGTTAATTAGCCGGAAGATGCCCGAAGGGTCCAAGGACCCAAATATAGGGTTCTAGGGTTTAGGGTTTAGGGTCCAAGGACCCAAATATAACATTAATTGTATTTGGGACCTAAAGCCCTGTTTTTTGGGTGCTTGGACCCTTCAAGTAGGGTTGATTGGACAAGAGGGGCCGAAATCTCACATGGATTGGACCAGTCAGTTTCCGGTCGATCTCTATGACCGTCCACTGTAATCAGTTAGGTTGGCTGGGAAAGCAGGGGCTGCGAGCATAAACATGACCTTAAGACTGTCCTTTGTGCATGTGGATCTGTTTTCTGTTGTGATTTTGCAGGTTATTTTTTCGCCAATGAGAATGCGGCATGGAACCTTTTCGAGTCGCGTCTGCACACCGAAATTTCTGCTACAGCTTGACTGGGTTTAGGGTTTAGGAGTTTAGGAGAAAACCCAAAAGTTCATCGCAGGTATTCTCTCAGCCAGAACTTATATACCTCTGGTTAGCAAGGAAAGAAGGAATAGATCTTTATAGTACAATAGCTCTAGAATCCCCAAGGATAGAGTGGTTTCCAATTTGTGTTCAATTCCGCCATGCCCTTGCAACAAGAGGTGAGAGAACAATTTCTGTCAGTCCGCGTCCCCTATGGAAACTAGCATAAGCTGTCCAGGGTTTAGGGTTTGGGGTCACGTGGGCTCAGTAAGTAGGATAATGACGGGGATAAGTAGGGCCATATGGCTTTTCACTGGGCTGGAAGGATCAGTATACCCACTAAATCCCCTGACCCTCCAAATCAGTGTTCATTCCTTGCGGATCACTACTTTTCAATCCCCTCGGATATTGGAAAGAAATTTTCGAGAAGCGAATCGAGCTGCAAAGCCACACAGGGCAGTATGATGTTTGACAAAACTTGCTGCTTAACAAGTGCAGGGCCCCTAGATCTCCATGGTAAATGCTTCCGCTCAGCGAGACGTAGACTTTGATATGAAAGATGGTTTGTTGTGTCTCGCTCGCTCTCACACATGACCTCCGGCAACCAGCAATGACGTCGCCAAAAGAAGGCCACGCTTGAGGTGTTATTGCTTGGCTTGTCTTCTGCAGCTGCAACTGTAAGCCCTCATCCTAAACTCTACACCATCACACCCAGTCAAACCTTGCACGCCAGATTCTAAAACCCAAGGACCTCATGCTGGTGATTTTCTCATCTTTCGATGTGGCCGCCAATTGGCCATCCACCAGCGAGGACGAGACGCCTCCAAACAATTTGGGTTACATGATCTTTGGCGCAAACAGATGTGGAATGATGTAGACTTTTCTCAGACACAGGGCGCCTTGACACCCTAGGGGTAGATGGGATCAGAAAAGGAATCTGGGGGCCGCGGCCCGATCTAAAAGGGATCTTTTTTAGAACCTGCCAAGTCAAACGTGCAGGCATGTGTGCTTTGCGTGATTTTCACGGGTGGGTTATGAGATGAGGCAGGTAATGCCTATGAGCCATTGCTTGCTGGTTGTCAACAGGGATTAAAGAGTGGTAAATTAAATGAAGCTAATCTTCGATTCGCTACAAGGTTCAACCAAGTACACGTAGCATCACATAGCACCCACCAGCACTAAACCTTCTAAACTGAAAAACCCAAAGCCCAAAACCCTAAATTCTAAACCCTAAGCCCTAAATGAAAAACTTTGAATTGGAAGCCTGGGGCATGAGAAAGCCCGATTCCTCGGTTCAGCCAAGGCGTGTTTTTCGCATGTCTGGTACTCAGAGAGGGGGGTGGGCGGCAACCTTGGACATTATAGGGGCCTAAATAATTAGTATAACTTTGAGGTCTATTTGAGGTACTTTTTGCCATATTTATACACAGAGTTCAGGACATGATATTGATTGTAATTATGTAGGCCTCTACATCTAGGCCTGAAGAAGGCGTTGCAAAGAAACTTTCAGCTGCCATCCTTTCTGTTATGTACATATTAGACCTATAGTCTAAACTCCTTCAAGTTATGTGCGTGATTATGTAGGGGAGTCTTAGAGGGGTTATTGAAGGGGATACTTGGAGTTGAGATTATAGCTCATATGTGAACCGAACTCTTGGCATCAGATAGTTGGCCGACGTTTCATGCAAGCCACAAGATTGCGGTTTGGCTACGTATGCTTGTGTAGCCTACAGAACACAGGCTCAAAAGTTGCTCGCGCGTTTTGGTGAATGTTTCGCTTAAGACCAAGACCTTGTCCTCGGGCACTCATGGCATGTTGTGCATTATCCTTTGCAGGTCGTGATTTTGGCCAGGGGTGGTTCCCGGCTAACACATGCTCCGCGAAGTCATTGTCACAGTGTTGTCAAGCAAGCCTGGTGTTGAAAACGCTTCTCTTATTCTCTGTTTCTCTTTCTCTTCCTCTCTCTTTCTTTCTTTGTCTCTCTCTGTTTCTCTTCATTCGTTGTTTCTCTCTGATTATCTTGTCTTTTTCTTTCTCTCTCTCTCTCTCTCTCTCTCTCTCTCTCTCTCTCTCTGTCTCTCTGTCTCTCTGCGTGCATGAAGGACATGATAAAATCAAATCATCAATCATCAAAGTACTTCCTCTATCTTGACCCCTTCTGAGAGGGAGCTAAAATACCCCAAAAAACACCGGCGGAATTACATGGTCCTGGTGTGAAGCCTTGCAACCTGAAGCCCCCCAGAAACATTGATTTCATAACTTCTCCTTGGTGATAAACACATGGATGGAACCTACTATAATGGGGTTATATAGGGATTATAGGGTATATTTGTGGGTTATATTGGGATAATGGAGAAGAAAATGGAAACTACTATAATATATAGTACCCTAGGGATCCAAAGCCGCCAAAGTAAACATGTAAAGTTTCAAGTCTGTCTTCGTAAAATGGGCCCTTTGGCCTTTGAGGAGAATTCTAAGGACTTATGGGTACATAGAGGGTATACAGTAGGTATCTAAGGGTCTCCGGGTTGAGGACCCACGCTAGGGGCCCATGGTTTCAACTTTATAAAGCGGTATTTCTAGACTTCAGGGCCTAAAGTGCCTAAAGCCCTAAGCGGGTAGTATTACCATACCTGGCTGTCCAGTGGTAGGAAGCAAGGACGAGTTGCCCCAAAAAACCCTTCACCGTTACTGTAAGGTTCAAGTTTGCAAAAATCCTCCGGACGATTCGCATCATTGCTTTCGTTCGCGAGCCTCTCGGATCAGATATAGGGCTTACTAGAGATGCCATATGGGGTTATATAGGGATTATTCAGGGATAACGGAAAAGAAAATGGAAACTACTACATTATAATAGGGGTTATATTAGGTTTATATAGGGATAGTGGAAAAGAAAATGGAACCCCATAAAACAGTATGTTGGTTATATAGGGGCTATACGGGGGGTTATAAAGTTCCCGACGTTGGAAAGGAGATGGCTTACTTGGGGAAGATTGGGGATAGTCTGGAGATTGTTGTGGCGATTCTGCATATGTTGACACCCAGACCCCCTGAAGAATCGAAAAAAAATGGAGCCCCCTAATAATCCCCTAGTTTCCCCAATCTACTAGTTTCACCATGGGATCATATTGGGGAGGCTCCTTTCTTTGGATCCTTTAGGGGGTCTGGGCATGCATGTCGCTGCAGGGTTGCCAGGATTCCGACGAACCCTCGTTGAGGCTCCTCGCTTTCCACCACCCTGGGAACCAACAAGCTGGGAATTTATGCGGCCGCTTCAGAAATAGAAGAGAGCCCCTGCAGCCTAATAGCAATGCGCTTGTCATGCTACTTAAACAGACTTTACAGAAGCCTTGCTCCGCATCAAGCTGTGCAGAGGCACAGCAATTTCAAGAAAGCACGCACAGCTTTGAACTCCAAACCTCAAGCTTCCTAAACCCCAAACTTGGACCCAGAACTGATGACCATGTTGCCAGTGACAGGCTCTCAATGATGTTGGAAAGCTCCGCAGCCCGCAGTAGACATTCCATTTTTCTCGGTGATTTGCAGGGAGGTATGGGAATGGTGTTTGGAGCTTGCATGAGTCTATACAGCTATAAAGATATCAAAGCTTGGAGCCTTAAGCGATCTTGGATTTGGGCGCTGGCGCGTCGTGGCCACATGCCGGAAAATTTTTGGATTGAGCAGACACCTGCCTCGTGAAGTCTGGAACTCGAAGTGACCTAGTATAGCCTACACTAGTTCTCCTGGTAAGATTCCGTTCAGACTTCTTGACCCGAAATGGCAAAGCCCTCGCCAAATCTGCAAGGCCAAGCGACCCAAGGCGCCACAAAGGAGAGAATCAAATAGAAAAGAAAATCAACGATTGAATGGAAACGGGAGTTATATGGGGGATCATAAAAATAACTACCAATATTATATAGTATAGAATAGTACTGTACGAGACTCCAAAAGGACTGGCCCCCTCCCTCCTCCCCAGATCTTGTTTATGATTTTGTGCTTGGGTCTTGGGATTTCTTGGCGGTTTAGGAGCCAATTACCCTTGCCCCTGATGTCACTCCCCCCTACAGCAATAGCCTCTAAATATGGAGTGAATAGGGCCTTAATATAATTACCCACAATAGTCCCTTGTGGTACCCATTGCTGGTGGGAGATTGACCCAATGTATCTGTGCCTTCTTCTAAGGGTCTTACCCTAAACCCTAACCCTTAAACCCTTAACCCTTCAACTAGGGTCTAGATTACTCGAGGAAGCCTTTACCTAGGGCCCAACTACCCCTACCCCCTAGTAAACCAACATAGTCCCATGAAGCATGGACTTCCGGGAGCGTTGGAGAATTTGGGTTTAGGCTTTGGGGATTAGGGTTTATGGTTTAGGG